GTATTATTATTTTATAACTTTGGACAAAAGAAAAACCATATTCATGTAAATAAGGGAACTACTGTATGTGGTTTATACAAAATTTAATAAAAAACTTTGCAGGCATGTTTTTTCTAATTCTTCTTATTTTTATCTTATCTAGTCTTAAATGTATTTAAAGGTAACCCTGATAGATTTGAGAGAAAAATCATACTTTAAAGCTGAAAATCGGATTACTGAAGAGACCAGCTATGATCTAATTAACATGCTTTACTTCTTGTATTATTTGCAYATTTGCAACAAGTTGCCTTCTTATAGGAGCTAGTTATAGAAYGATCCTTATGTGGATTAAAAGCTTTTTTTTCTGTATGCTATAATGTTGCAAGCATTTTCTTTTATTCTTTCCTATTGTAGACATGTTTTTAGAAATTCTTCCACTAGAGCATACCAATGAGGCAAAAAGTGCCACTCTGCACCATAAAACACATAACTTGCCATTAAAATAGTGTTTGCATAAAGTTTGTTAAAATGAATTTTGATTTAATTTACAKTTAGAAAGTTAAACTATCATGTTTTCTTTTTGTTTTGTTTGGTAACCACGCACACTTTTTTCCCTTATACATTCAACAGTGTATCTACATATAACAATGTAACTGTTATAGATTTAAGGTGCCTGTAGTGTACAATAAACAATGAAGTGACTTTAAATCAGCGTGACCGGACTGGATGGTGCCTTTTTAGCGTTAGAAAGTGAGTCGATTCAAATCATCAGCAGTGGTTTTCCATTATAGTTTCAAAATCTGTGCGTGAACTGTCAGAACATTCCCATTCCATTCAACCCCATCAGAGGAAAATCAACAGTGTTCTCCACAATAGGTCGCTAGAAACTYGGAACGTGACTTGCAGCATCACACTGTGTCCAAAGTACCTGGTAGTACTTCTGCACATGAAACAGAGTCCATGAAAATGCCGTAGTTAGCAGCAGCAAGATGCACAACATAGACGCACATGAAGAGTGAATTTTGGGAGCAAATGGGGAGGGGGGATTTCGTTTTAACGCCACACTGTGGAGCAGTGCACAAGCTGTTATGAAGTCGGGAAAGGAAGAAGTCACACGTTAGAGGAAAAGARGGAGGAAGAAGCAACGCAGCTGTACTCACGCCAAAGGAGATCCGGCCTCCTCACTGAGGTCAGGTTCAGGAAGGGAGGATGGGGAGGAATGGGTGGAGGACAGCACAGGTGTGGTTGGTTTGTTGGATGGAATGAGCAGAGAACAYGGCACAGACACAGACAACAATGAAAAGCCCAGACATACACTACTGTGGATATCCTAATAGCAGCAGCGTATAGGCTTTACTGTTCCTTTTTAAAGTCTAACTCTTCTACTGTTTGCTGTTTTGTTCATTTGGGTGAGCCGACTGAACGCGATGAACAACCAAAGAACAAATCCAGACAAGTCAAATGGTTAAAAATAGATGGGGAGTTGTGTTTTAGCGCTAACCCTCACCCGTCGTGCCCTTTGGCCTGTGACTGTCCAGCGATGGCGTCCATGATGGCGTCCTGTGAGTACATGCTGATGGGTGTGTTGTACTGGGCGTGAACAATGGTGGCCTTTCCTCCGGGACCCCTCACCTCAATGGGTTTGTGGGTGGACAGGGCCGAGTCTTTCAAAGCTATGGGGTTGAAACTGGGGGTGTACTCCACGCTGTCAGAGCGGGTGTTGAGAGGTGGTGTGTCACAGGATCAGAGGGTCAGAAACGGTGCAGCAGAGGGAAAAAAAACAGAACCAAAGTGAAAAAACAGAAACTAGTTGGTTGTTCAGCGATGCGATAATCAACAGGGAGAGTTWCAGTTAGGCTCATAAATCAAGGCTTAGTTCTTTCATGCCAAAATATAACATTTTACTTTGAAAAAAAGCTAACATAGCCAAAGAAAATCACAACATGCTGAATAAAAAAAAAAAGAAAACTAGCTGGCCACGTGAAAGTAACTAAACAGGATGCTTCACACGTTACAGTCAGACATAGAGGAGCTGTAATCTTTATTAATAAGCTGCATTTTTACGTTCATTCAAAGTTAATTAAAAAGCATCAGTGCAGTCATGCAGACACTGATGGTAGAATCTCCYTGGAGGCTGTCTGGCCTCGCCTTCAGTAATGAGGGCGTYGCCTCGGTCGGTCRCGGTGAAGAAAGAGCTGAGTCGAAAGRCAAAGCTCTCACTTTACTGGTTTGCCCACGTTCCAACCCTCAGCTGTGGCCATGAACGGTTCACGACAGAAATAAGGAGATTTTGGATCCAGAAGGGTGAAATGAGGGTGGCCAGGCTCAACCTTAAAGGGATCCCTGATTAGTTCTAACATTAGACTTTATTTAATAAACATACATTTTAACTGTGAAATAAAGACTGTAAAAATACTGTAGGCTGTTTAGTTTTTATCATTTTTAAACTAAAA